GGGCGGTGGTGGGTTGGCTGGCGGGGGGGCTGGGCAGATGACAGACAAGTCCTTATTCCAGTGAAATACCAGCCACAACAACAATCATATTGTATTTATAAGAAAGTGAATATCACTACTCAAAATAAACTGCAACCAATTCTACAGATCGCTTTCGAGGGAGATTGAGGGAGTTACCCAATATAAGTGCGGCCCTTGTGGCGAGGGCTTAAAGAGCAGAGAAGGTAACATGCGAAGAAACCCTTCACCAATTCCGTCTCCTCCGCTTCTTCGCCGGAATCACGATCGACTTGTCGTTTTTCCGTCTCTCTGGTTTCAATTACTTCTCTGGCTTCGCATCTGCCCCGCTTTCTACCCATTCAGCCAGTGTCGCTCGCTTTTCTGTCTCTCTACCTGATTCCCTTCCTTCCTCGTTCTCCCTCGAGCTCGAGAGATCTTCAGAAAAAATCGAACGTTAAAAGAGAGATTTTGAATGTCGACGCCCCTTAGGGCAAATCGATCAGGATACGAGGGGCCTCTTACTATAGGCTTTAAGCGATGTGCCATTTTATTTATCTACAAATTAAAATATAGGGACGTTTACATAAATACCACCGAATTTGATGTATTTACATATTTAACATCTAAATTTTATTTATTTTACATTTATATCACAAAAAAAAAAATGCACATCGTTCATGTAAATAAGGCGCTCTCTCTCTCTCTCTCTCTCTCTCTCTCTCTCTCTCTCTCTCTCTCTCTATTGTACATAAAAAATGTGTTAGCACGAAACTCAAAGAAATCTGACAGCTGATCAAGAATATGATGCAGCGGTCAGGGCCCCACCAGAATAATATTTGTGTGCTTTTTATGTCATTTAAACATTATGATGCTAAATTAATAAACATAAGAATATGTGTTTTGGATATTGTATACACAAATACGGTCGTATAAGATTTTTTACATGTATTCTAGAGCCCACCACCCAAATGACTGAATTGAGCTCACCTGTCAAAGCAGCTCAACTAAGCACACCTGCTAAAGTGGCTGACCAAACCCACCTATCAATGTGACTGAACAACCCACCTGTCAAAGTGGTTGAACTAACTTGCCTGTTGAAGTGATTGAACTAACCTATCTGCCTAAATGGTTGACCAAGACACCTGCCGAAGTGGCTGAATAAGCTCATTAGTCGAAGTAGTTGAATTGTTCTTTTCAACCTATGGGAGATTGCCTAGTTCTCCTGGAGAGAGATAACTACCGGAGATGATCATCATTTCCAGCAAGATTGCAAGTTAATCAATATTTAAAAACCGTCTTTTCATCAATACACCAAGTATGAGAATCATACAGTACTAAATATATATATA